TCAACATCGCAAGTGACCAATCACATTGTTGTGACGTTATTCTTTTGCGCGCCAAGCCATTTGTGCATTTATGAAATTCCAATGTTGCAAGGACAATATCAATTCTGCTTACCGTTTCTTAAAGGGTTACGGTTAGGGTTAGGGTCAGGGTGCGTTGATTGGCGGACAGAGGCGGTTTCTCGCAGCTTAAGTAGTTTTTGGTTTTACGGCGGTTTTTCCTGAAGTCGCAAAAGAATAACGTCACAACAATGTGATTGGCCACTTGCAATGTTGATCCTGGAACAACATTTAGTATGATGATCTGGGAACAACACCAACACGACGATATCAGATCGTGCGCTTCACTTCCACTGACACCATTTCTGATGAGGCTTCAGTGAACAGCAGATGGGTCAAGTGAAGGGACACATGAGTCTCTCAGGTCCTGTGTCAGGTCTTTCGGTTTATTTATTTTTTTCTCATTTCTTAAGGATATAGCTTTCAGATACTGACAATCTACTGTACATAGTTTTTTGTTAGGAATGCTACTTCTTTTGTCCTCCACTTTCTCCTACTGGAGTGAACTGAAAATAAATGTAAAAGCAGCTCTGACTGACCTTTTTTTTTTTTTTTTTTTTTAAATTATTCATCAAGAAACACGCAGCCATACAAAAAGAAATCTATTCTGCCTACATGCTCACCTGTAGCAAGCCATACTTGGTCTCCACATCATAGAGCTTGTACTCCTTGATGTCGCTGGGCACAGGGCTGGGCAGGTTGTCCCATTGGCCAAGCACGTTGGACAGGCTGGCAAACACCGGCTCTGTACAGAATGCCAAGCAGTCTCTGAGGGCCAAATAAATAAATGTCATCAGTTCAATTCAAAGCAATAACAGACAGAGAATAAACAAAACAGAAAGAGTAAAAACAGACGGAAGAGAATTATGAATTTAGAGCTGTCATGGATGAAAAGAAAGAAAGCACAAGGCCTTAACCTTTACTTGCCATGATCCATTTTCATCTCAAATGTCAAGATATCCTCTGAGCAGTGACTCATTCAGTTTCATCCATGACATACATACATGTGTGTGTGTGTGTGTGTGTGTGTGTGTGTGTGTGTGTGTGTGTGTGTGTTAATCACCGTGATTCTTCCAAGGGATGCTGAACAGTCAGGAGTCGAGGGTGACGCAGTCTGGTTAGCTGTTGCACTCCTCTTTTCAGTGAATCGATGATTTGGTCCTTCTCAAATTTCTGATACTTGTCAATCATTTTCTTGTCAAAAACAAAAACCGCTACTTCCTGGAGGGTAAAAGACATACAACAACATGGTGACAGTGCAGTTTTCAGTCTCAAATTAATTCCTTTTCCCCTTTCAGCAAAAGTCAGGTAAATCATTTATGAACTTGGATCAAATCTAAACTTGTGTCAAGAGGTGGTCTGGTCAGACACACACACACACACACACACACACACACACACACACACACACACACACACAGACACACACACACACACACACACACACACCTACCTGTTTGGTGGACTTCTTGGTGCCATTATAGATCCTCCAGCTCAAGCCGGGACCTCCACTTGCAATGTGTCGCCCCACCTCAAACTCCCGTGTCACAGGGTTGCCCATAACAGCACTAGTGACATCGGCTGTCACCTTAGTGACAGTGCTTTTCAATTTGTTCAGCATGGACTCCATGTTCAGGCTCGACCTGGCAGCTGAGATAAAACATTGATGATGATCATTAAGGAATGATCAGAGGTTAAAGACATAAGCTAGAGTCAGTCAGATGAGGAAATTCTTTGCAGTTTTTGCAACCAGGCACTATGTTACATGCACAGTTACAGTATACTCCACTGTTATTCTTAATATAGCAATTCCCCAAATTGCAAGTTGGCCATGCAAACTGTAAATTCAGTTTGTATATCACGCATTAGACCTTATTCTGATGATAGAATTTTTCAATAAAGATGTGGAATATGGTGGTAATATTAGATTCAGTACATTCAGCATGTACTGTCTGTGCTGTACACAAACCAACAATAGTTTGGCAGACTATAGTACAGATGCATGCCCAAAAAAAAAAGCCCACAACTCTGGTCAGTAGGAGAAAAAAAAACAACTTCTTTTCAATGATATAAAAGCCTTGTATATCAACAGGTCTTTGGATTTCTGCAGATACTGAAGAAGCACCTTTTAGAAAAAAAAGACAGTGGTTAAAGAAATTAAATAGGAAGGCTGTGTTTACACAAAACCCCCAATAATGAGATTGATTAAATCAGTTCCTTTTGCAAAAGATTATCAGTAAACTGCAGCCACATATCAATAATTTAATTAAAATATGAAGCTGTTTCAAATGCGTTTCCTTTTCCTGTTTCAGAATAGGCCTTTATGGTGACCCTACTAAGAAGCCTCTAAAAATGCGAGTGTGCATTCCCAAACCCGTTCCCTGGCTTTCACCCCATTCTCCTGTTTAGCAAAAACTTCTACTATATTAAGATGAAATCGGTGGAAGGCTTCACAAAAAGGTTATTTGCTCATTTTGTCAGCTTCATGGGACTTGAAACACAAATATTCTGTGTAGGTAGTTGGTGAAAGAGACATCTGTATGCTTCTGGCAAAGCAAAAGCCTTCAACAAACCATTAGACATGCACTAATGCATCTGCTTGAAAATTTGCACATCAAAGTCCCCACCAGCATCCTCCCTGTGCTGGCTGAGGAGAATAAGCATAGTAACAATCCGCGCTGTCCCCAGAAATATAAAATGACTCAGAGCAAACTGAGCCACACCACATTAATGCTCTCTTTCAAAATAGTCTAGAGTAAGAGCAAGTTAGGCAACAGAAACCTAGACAAAAGAGCATGACCGATGATTGTGAAGCAAGTTTTTTTTGTTTGTTACGTTTATTTTTTTAAAATGCAAACACTTCCTTCAGTGTTCTTAATCTTTCTTGAGCAGCCTTCTAGACCTTTGATGTTTGAACCGAATAAGCTCCCAGCAAATCCATACATTGCCACGTAAGCTGCAGTTTTAATAATTAATTCTTTACAGAACCCTACATTTAAAGTGTTATGGATGGGTTTGAAATGTTCAAAATACAGTGATTCTTAATAAAACGTTTTATAAATGCTTTCAAACTTAAATTCAATTTTGACTTTGCTGTGGTTTGCTGGAGGAGCAGCATCAGAGCTGCTGACACCAACAAACTGAATAAAACAACTAGGAAAACCAGGGTCTGTGACTGACTGCAAATTGGATGTTTTTGAAGCTGTGGTGGAGAGATGGTCACTGAACAATTTTTTATCCATCCACCGATAATCCAGACCAGCCTGTTCACTTCTTGGACAGGCAGCTGCCAGACAATATTATAATTTCCTCATCATTTCAACTACTGTAACAGCAGAATTTTCCTATTAAGGGATAAATAAAGTATTGCTCATCTCATTATATGTAGCATCACATAGCATCACCTACTTTTGAAGCTGTTAGCGTTCTAGAATTTGTCCCTCAGTTTAAGAATCGAAACCCTAAAGCCCTGATGCTTCATTTGAAAATGTGGCAGTGCTCTGAAAAATGCTGCAAAACATCGAAAGCACTAAAGGCAATCAGATTTGAAGATTTCATAGAACAGACAGCATCATAGCCTATTTTACCACGCCACTGCTTCTGCCTGGAAAGAGTGGAAAGGCCAAAAAACAATGGCAAAAATATCAGTACGCATGAATAGAAACCCATGACCCTGTTTTTCTTTGCAACAAGCGTCCTGACTGTCTGCTGACGAGTAACTAAATTGAAACGCGTGATTTACTTGACTGTAATCTATATTAATACCAGTTGCTAACCTAATAAAGTCCTTAGCACCTTAGCAGCTGGTCCCCAGAGAGCCTGTTAGTATCATGGTGGAATTGTTTATGAAAACTGGACGTATCTAATAACAAGTAAGTAACGTCGGCAGGAATTAATAAGTTCTTCATATTCGACACGATCAAGCCACATGTTAGCATGGGTTTCAAAGTGTTATGGGTCACTCGGCGTGTCTGTCAGATCTGATTGTGAAATACCTTGATGTTAGCCAAGTTAACCATCTTGTTTAGCACACAGCCAATGCAAACGAGTACTGAAAGCACGGCTGGCAGTCAACAGATATCTTTCCAATTCTTCTATTAACCCTTTGCCTACCTATGTCGCAGACATCATCGTTGCAATATGTTGCCTTTTTCCCCACATGAACACAGCAGTCACCTGCCCAAGCTAACTAGCCAACAATGCGCAAGTAGACTGACGTTCCAGTCAAACAGCGATTATTTCTATATAAAACTTTCACTCCGAATGCCTCCAGCTACTTACCTTAATATTAAAAAAGGGTCTCCGCTTTACTTCCTATTGTAAGTGGGCTCTCAGCCGTACCGCTGTCAGTAATGGCTGTGAAACACAGCCCCCATGTCTTCCAGTAGCATACGAAATGAGTTAGCTTGGTACGCTAGTGAACGAAGAGCTCTACTTCCGGGTTTGTTAACGGAGTCAGGTGCGTCAACGTCATCAGGTACTCTTTTTCTTTTATGTTTTTTTTAAATAACCACTTCGAGGTCGGTTTTATTTTAACTAAGTTAAAACGTAACTTTTATACACGGTCATTATTTCACACTTTGTCAATTTATTCAAACAATATGTTTATAATAAATTATTAGAAAAATATAAACCTATGAATACAAATATGAATTTTAAGGATTATTATGTAGTTAGAGGATAATTTAGGCTTCAAACGTGGTTTAAAACGACAGGAACCAATTTGTATTATGTATTTGAGAATAATAAATAATAAACCATCGATGTGCGGTGCAACCCTGTTACCAATATTCTAAAAAAGTAGATTTCAAAAATGTTTTTTCATAAATTCTTGACCAATAAGTCAAAGAGTCACCCTCATACTGAACACTCGAATATTTATTAAATTTCAGATAGGAATTAACTTAATGACAAAACATTTGCAGTAATAGTAGTGTTGAAAATCCTAATCAGAAACAGATGAAGTGTGTCAAAAAAAAAAATCATAATTTATATTTATCCTCACTATTCCATTACAAAACACTGACTTCTAGTTTGCACTGTGGTACATACACTGCAACATCGAAAGTTTTAGAAAGGCTTTATTAAACATGTTAATCTGAAACAAAATAAAGTATGTTTCAGCATCATAAATTGCATTTTTTTAGATGATTTCAATGTTTCTGAAAATAAAATGAGACCACATTTTTTATTACGACCATGTCTTCATTACAGTGATGCTTATAATTTTTAAAGAAAAATTACATCAGTAGCATATCCAGTTAGAGTACCGCACTTTTTCCAATGAGGTCATAATGTCTATCTTTCAAGTAAAAATCCTAAAAACTTCCAATTAGAATATTTAAATTATGGCACTAAATACAGTCATTAACCATAAAATTATACATGAGGATAGTTATCCTAACACCCTTCCTGCTGTCATTTAATAATAACATTTTTTAGAACGTTCACAGAAAAAGAAATTATTACAACAATTAGTATTTTTCTTTCAAGTACAGCTACCAAATCAAGGCCTCAAAATGGATAACATCTTTACATCTTTTTGTGATGTAGAGAAATTAATGCTTAATTAAAATGCACAGCCCCAGAAAAGCACAACACTATTCCCAAGGCCTGATGCACACTGGAAAAAAAAGTTTAGTATTACACATACAAATAGAGCACTTCAATCTAGAAGCATAAGCTGTTCACTTAATGTTGCCTCAAAACAACCATTTGATGGCTGTGAGAATTCATTTAGTACTGAAATTTAAGTATTCCCTTTACACCCTTTTAACACTTGATTTTATCCTGCAGTAAAGCTAAATTGTAGAATGTAAAATCTGTGCCAACAATATAGTTTTCAAACTAGTGCAATACTTTTTACAGCAGTTGTTGACCAGATGTACTGAACTAAAATTTCATTGCCTTCAAGTTACCAGCAAATTTAAAAATAAAACTTCAGCTATCATTACCTCGTGATTTATTTGGATTTGGAAAGATTACACCCATGGAAACATGCCGTTTGAAAAGCATTTGTAGTATGTATCCACCTCAGAATGCCATCCCCACTCTGCATACTACACATTAGAGGTGTAACCATATGCAAGTCAGTACTTCCTTGTTAGTTAGAATCATAAAATGCATTCAAGTTTAACCTTTTTTTAAAATCCTGAAACTGCATGAATTTGTAGGTACACCCATGAAGTCAAACCAGTCCCAGCTACTTGTGTGTTTCAGAAAGTGCTAGAAAAGTGCTGCAGGAAGACCACGGGGTGATGCTTTTCAAATTCTTTGAGCATCCTCCTCTTCTCCTTGGCAGACATCCTCTTGCTCGAGGAAATGTCATGAAGAAGTTGTTTGAGGCTCTCCAGGGTGGTAGCCTCACGCTGGTCCTCGTATTCCTGTGGAGTCACCTGCTGGCAGAAGGTGAACGCTGCAACAAAACATGAAGAGGATTTCATGGTTTTCATGGAGGATGCACAGTGCTCAGGAACAAGTGGGGGTTTTGTTTTGTTTTTTATTGTGGATCTGGAGCAACAGTGTTTCCAAATAAGATAGGTACACAAAAAAACTGAAGTACAGTGTATCTATACATAGTGAGCTGTTATCTCATCTGATGGTGTACTGTGTGATGGTTTGTCAGAGTGTAATTAACATTGAACTTACTAGCAAATGAGTCAGGATCTTTTCCCTGCTGCACAGTCCTCAGTGTGCTCCTCACAGCTTCAATAAGGGTTGTAGGTGTCTATCATTATTGCAAGATAAGACCAGAGAGTAAAAGGAAACACTGTAACAACTATCAGGTACTTGTAGAGACATTAAAAAGTAAACTTAAGGCTGGTTGAAATCCAGACGGAAACGCATGTTTGTCTAAGAAGACTATTTCAATGTAGTTCTGAGAGCACAGAATTTTACCTTGAAGAGCTCAGAGTGATTGTCCATGAGAAAGAACACCAGAGCTTCACTTTGTGATCGAGTCAATTCATGATTCTGAACAAGAGCTCTCTGAAATGTGCGGCACACCAAGGATCTGTTATCAGTCTGAAAGGACAAAAAATAGGTTTCAATTCAATTTCATTTATAATTTTACAAAATAAAGCTACGGTACTATCAGATTATTCAGTGAAACAGATTCAAACATGTTCAGTTATTTTCTATATGGACTATTTGCCTTTTATTATTCTATAAAAGTGCAAAAAGATGAAACTGGCAGTGTGGTTTAGAGGATGCTGCTGACCTGTTTCTGCAGACGGCAAGCATCTGAGCAAGCTGCTATCGCCATGAAGGCCAGAAGTCTTTGCAGTTCATCTCTCAGACTTGTTTCCAGCAGCCGCAAACACAATTGAGATGCTTTGATGGCATCCTGTAGCTTCCCTTCATCTGGAAATTAAAAGACACAAGTATTAACCTTCATGACTGGAGAAAAAACAAACAAAAAAACAAAACTGTGGTACAGATCACAGCCCTATCACTTATTGCTCCACACCATGAATCAAAAGTCACTATAAACTTAAACTTAGCTCTTTTGGTTCTTACCCAGTAAATTCAGAACTGCAATATGTATGTCCAGGTAACGCCCTGAAATGAGTGGAGATTTTTCTTGTCCACTGTAGTATTTGGCAATGGTATCAAACAACAGCCTCTTCTTGCTTGTCATATGTTCTGCACTGGGATCCTCCAAAGACGCATTTCCACATTGCAGGCTTAGCTGTTCTCCTGCAACCACGATCAGCTGGTCGGGAAAGAGTTCCAAACAGTCTGCTGCTGCTGACAGCCACTCATCCAACCTGGAAAAAAAAAGTATGAAAGAACATACTACAGGTGTAATGGAATACATGAACAAATAGGTCTCAAGCCAAAGTGCAAAAGCCTCAAGGGATGAATCAGAGGACTGACTGGGGTAGGGGAAGGGTGTCAGACAGCTCTCGTTCCAAGCATGTGTTAGAGATAACCAGATCCTGGTTGGCCAGAGGAGCTTTGCAGGTTTGGGGATGAACTCTTTCAGGAGAGGTAAGAATGCAGTCCAACACTGGCAATTCTACTAACTGCAGCAGCTGCAACACGGTTTGCTGCTTCCAAACCTGATCTGACACTATGGAAGGAAGAAAGAGCAAAATAAACAAAAACAAAAATATCTGTCCACTCGAAATCCCCCCCCTTACTATACTGGCACATTTGCTCATTACCAGTTTTGGAAAGAAAGGTAGAAGATGTGGTGGTTCTGTTGTGAGCTGCAGACAAGGATGGCTGCAGATTGATGGCCCTTAGCAATCTTTCAACCCTTCTGTCTGAAGATCCAACAGCAAGAGGATTGGCAATTGTTCTTAATTCATTCAGCCTCCTGAAAGAACAGGAAACATTTGGATGATAACAAACACTTTGGTTCTGTGTATATGTTTCTTTTTTCTAAATAAAAATCTAAATACAAAATGTTGTAATACTTAGCATGAGTGTTGATGTTTATAATGTCTTAGCTATGAAGAAACTGAAATGAGAACATTAAGATAAATGCAACAAATTTACTAAAAAAAAAAAATCATAATACACCTATTCTGCAAAGATGAGAGTTTCAGTGTTCAGATCAGCACTTTCAGTGGTGAGTCACATGCTTTAATACTGGAAAATAAATGTAAATTAAGCACCAATGTAACAGAACAGAGAGGATTTTATGTAAAACTCACCTTGAGCTCCTCTTCTTTTTTATCTCCTGTTGTTCTGGCAGTATGTTTTCTGCATTAATGTTTCCCTTCACATCAGAATTCGAAAATCCTTTGTATTCCAGAAAACGGTAAAGACTGCAGCTGCTGTCCTCAAAGGTCACCTCCTTGTCCCTGCGAAACAGCTTTGTGCCTACTGGTTCAAATACCTTCGCCTCCATCAAAGCCTGACAGAGCCGAGCAGCTTTGAGACGAGAAACTTCACTTGTGCAAAATGCCACGTTCTGCATCAAGTAACTGAGAACTGCGTCCACAGCGTCTGAGCCTGTGAAACATTCAGCGTAAACACGTAAATGTCTCCTGCAGCTGCGTACTTCCACTTGAGTCTGTAGGGCTTGGATGATGTTGTGCCACAGCTGGGTGGCACCAAAGGGCCCAGAGAAGCCTGTTGGTAATTAAAGAAACAGAGGTTTGAAGAAAAAGTGACTCCAGTGAGTTTAAACTAGAACTTGCTTAACTGTAGCCAAAGGTAATTGTTGGATGTTAATGACTTGTTTAAAAGTTTGAAGGATAAGGGGAGTTTGTAATATTTCCTCCATCTAATTAGAAAGGGTTAGGGTTACAACTGTTGTTGTGATGTGGCGCTGTATAAATAAATTTTGAATTGAAATGAAATGAATTGAACTAGTAAGTAAAAGCTACACTGCATGTCATTATCATGGTGTTTATGTACTACGTTGAAGTACTTTACGAGACTATTTCAATTTAATACTTTATTTTATAAAACTACAGTTGAAAGTTAATTTACAAGCCCACTGATAACGACGTGTTTGTGGTGGCAACCGTGTTTATAATTATCACTAGTTCCATCTAGCATGTGTATTAATTGCTATGCTATGTTTGCATAGTCATTTCTGTAAATGAGAAACTCGTTAAAACGAAACTCATATCTTACCATGCTGTAGATTTTCACGAAAGCTTCGAGTTTGGCTGTTCAACCTTCTAAACCGAGGAGTCAAATCAAGCGCCATCACGAAACTCTATATGTGACGTAATCACGTTCTTCTTCGTCTAAAATGAACCGACTCAACCCCGCTGCTGCCCCCCAGAGGCTACAACAGCCACACGTGCAAAATACCCCGAAAGGTTTTTGTTTTATTTGTTTTGTTTCGTTTTTAAATGAAATTTTTATAACAATGCCTAAAGTCGAATAAAAATAAAAATTTTGCAGTTTTTATATTTAAGATGTGCTGCCATTGGAAACATGCTGAAAAGACTCAATTTATCACAAGTTAAGCATCTGGATCTTTTCTCAAGATGTCATATAACCACACAATGACCATACTGTAGTATTAATATAATAAAAACCTCCCACCTAAGACCCGTATATTTTTAGAGGTCTTATGTTAAGGGAAATAATAGCGAGCACAGGCGTCCACACTACCACAGGTAGTGAAGGTTCTGAGGTTACATCCGTAAACAAAACAACCCACGTGAACACAGACGTTTTGGAAAAGCAGGGCGGGGTGTACCATTTTTCGACAGCTTGATAAAATGTAGCCCGTATTATTACATTACCCTTTTCTGAACTAAATGTCTGCATATTATTGTATCTGCTCTCTTTAAATTGCAGATTCTTTTTAAATTAATTAGATTCTTCTTTTTTTTAAAAAAGACAATCCTTAGAATCGCCTTTATTTTTGCAGTTGAACACACCCGTGTGTAAAATGGTTTCGCCCGCTAGTTCTCAGAGCCAGCTGGGCTACTGAAGGACCTTTAAACAGAGAAGCAAACGCAAGAGGAGACAACTTTATTTTCCTCTTTTCTCGTTTTTTTCTTTTTTTATTTATTATTACTATTATTGAACACTTGAATTCCCTTTGCACAGCTCACTCATTCCAGTTGGTGCTGGTAATGCACCATTGCCAACCACCATAAATATAATCAGAACAGGACCTTTAAAAAGGACGACGGCGACTTTTCTCTTCAGAGCGGGGCTATTTTCGCTGTCAGCTTCACTTTCTAGTGACTTGAATGAGGTAAACATCGCGTTTCTCGAAGACATTTGTGCTTGTGACTTAGTTTATGGTGTCTGCTGCTAAGTTATCCGTCGCTTTGTTGTGAAACAGGAAGAAGAGTACAGTATTTGACGGTTCTGACATTTAGCATACCAGTGACAGCTGGTGTACGAAATTAATGACATTTATGACTCGTATTAAGCTGTAAACCAGGGGTTTTAGTCAAGTAACAAAGACAATTATATAACACTGACATAGTGCTGAGTTTGACGGATGCATCAGATGTATTTTGAAGGGAGAGCGTAACGCATTATTGTTTCCGCACTTCTTTTTCTGTGGTTTCTGTCATGATCAGATACAATATACTATTTGTAATGTACACGGAGTTCTTGTTTTGGTCTGCACCTCGGATCACGTGTACCCACTTCTTACGCATGTGTGGATATTTTTTTTATCCACGTTTGTAGCTGTGCAACCAAAGAGTTTCCATGTAGGGCTGAGAGACGGGGAACTGCAACCAATAAGGAGAGTTCCCGTGGATCTAGCCCTGCCTTCCTGATTCACTGCTTTGTTTACATTATACCGCAGTCAGATCTCTGGACCCCAAAAGGCTGTCTTTGTTCCTGCAGAAGTTGATGTAGCTGTGTGTGTGTGTGTGTGTGTGTGTGTGTGTGTGTGTGTGTGTGTGTGTGTGTGTGTGTGTGTGTGTGTAAGAGCGCCTGTACCTCTTATTCGATCACATATTCGCTCAGATATGTTTCCAAAACATCTGGGAAAATTATACGATATGTTCATTTATCTTAGATTGCATCCTTCTGGTTATAACAGGACAATGCATTTTACTCTACCTAGCATCTGAACTGCTTAAAGAAGCTTTCTCATAAAGAAGCTGCAGATGACAGAGTACACCTAATCCGTAATCAGTTTTCTGGATCACTCTGCTTTTATCCCTCTGGATAATCTCTGAAAATTGGCCTGCTGCATGGCTTTGACCTAGCTGTCAAGTCTAGCATATGATGTAATAAAAGGGCTCCCCACACCCATTTTCCTCGACCCTTGAGCTATCTTTAAACTGCAAGCGCTGCCAGGGAGTGTGCATTCATTTCTGGCAGCAGATAACTGAGCCAGAGGATAGGAACACCTATGGGTCATTCTGCCAGCACTGTATGTCTTAGGCTATATTAGAAAGGCCTGCAGGCTTGATTTAACCTGTTACAGTACTCAAGTAATGTTTAAGTGGGTTACTCTTTTTTTTTAACAGTGGTAAACAGTCTTTACAATAACGTTAAAAATGTGCACATCCCGTCATCTTTACCTTTCTTTCCTATGTGTATTTGTGGAAAACAAACAACAGCACAGTGAGAAGTGTAACACGATCATCTTGACAGTTGCGTAGCCCTCTGTTGTCCCATGTTGCCCTGGAGACACAACTGACATTGGATAGACAGGCACAGGCATAAAGGCTTTTGTGTAAACCTATATGGAAATGTGTTCTGTTTATGTCTAGACTTTGTATTGTGATTTAAACCCTGGTGGCAGTAAACAAACACTGAACCACACTATACACTATTATTATTTCTTTTTATTTTTCAGTGACTTACGTCATGCACCATCATTGACTTTAATAATATGTTGAAAGTGTTTGCAACAAGGCAGCTTTGTCTGTTTAATGGTGCCCTCCAGCTGTTTCACTGAGTATGACTGGTGTTTTTGTTACACTCTGCCTTGGTAACAAAAACTGCAACAGTCACACACTATCTCACTCTCAGACGAGCTCAGGTAAAATGATGGTAAGATTGTGTCATGGAAATTTTGGTTTTCTAATGAGTACTTTGAGGATAGTTTATGCAGGATTCCCTTGAAAGTATCTCAGTAATTATCATTTAATAGTCTGGATCTTCTGAACATATTGAATTAAACTCTGTGGTAGGAAATCCCTTTTAAGTTATTACTGACTTGTTATTTGCAGCTATAATCCAAAATGCCTTTAAATGATGAGCGGCCTAACTCCACATCCAGCGGTGAGGACCAAGGTAGTGATGTGGAGTCATCATCAGAGCGCTGCGACAGCATGACATTGAACAGCGACCTGGAGTGCTCACGTGATAGCTTCACCAGTGACTCCTCCAGCAAGCATTGTAGCCCATCCTGTGAGTCTGTCCCCTTCCCTTCTCATTGATCTATGCATAAGCTCACTGCATATAATCCAAGTTTGTGTTTTTTCTTTTTGATGACCCTGTCTGAGTGGTAAAAAAAAAATAAATTTAATCTGCTGTTTTGTTTGCAGTTGTTGTTAGGGGTTAATGACTGTGTTTAATATAAAGGCTTGTAAGAAAGCTACCACCCTCTACACCAGGGGCATCAAAACATAAGGCCCGGGTGCCAGAATAAGCCTGACAGAGACTCCAATCCAGATATAACAAATAACAATTGTATAAGAATCTAAGATTGAATAAGAATATCTAACATGTTCAGTTAAAGAACTTTCTGTTTTATAATTGCAGGACAGTCTGGGAAACGTCATCTGTCATTTTACATATTCATTTCTTACAGTTTAAGTCCAAAAAGTCGTACTGTTCTTTTATTATTGCATCATTCATTCTTCTTCATCATGTGGAAAAACTGAAACATGCTTATTATTATTAGACTTCTTTTTATTATATTAAGAAAAAGAAGTGTGAAATGCCAAGGATTAAATGTGTTGTTACACTTCAGTTCACTGACATAAAGACGGACTTTTACTGGTTACCTTAAGTGAGCTGTATGTATGAACAGTGTAAATGGAGTTTGACATCTGTCATCTTTAATAGTCGGACATGCTTTTTTCCCCCAATTTATAAATCAGCAAATATTTGATTCCCACAGCAAGCCCACCCAAAACCCTAACGCTGGACGAGGTCATGGAGTCTGCAAGAGACCTTTTCAATCTCAGCCTCTCCCATGAGATCGTTATTAACCGCAATTTCCACCTGGAGCCAAATAGCCTACCTCAGGACAGGTAAAATATGACAAAAGCCTGTGCTTACTAATGTCAAGTTTTGCAATATTAATACCACACCAATACTACATTTCAGATTTTTCCATAATGAAGAACATGTTAGGTATCAGGGAGAGCTGATGCTGCTTTCTGTGCTTTGTACAAACATAGAGATTTTGCAGTGTTTAAAAATCATGTTTACCTTTTTAAACATGGTTATAAACTAAAATAAATGTGATTCTTGTTATACCAACTGTCTGTGTCTGATGATAATATGCGAGAATTTAGAGTTAGAAAAGAAAAGGGAGATCCAAAGACTCACTGTTATTTATTCTCAAGCTCCCAGTGGATAACACAATTTTAAGTTGACAAGTTTATCTTCAAACATCATAGCATCCTGTAACAAACACACACTTTCTGAGCAGAAAGAAAGATTTGAATTTGATCGTTGAGGACATGCTTTCATGATTTGCATCTACAGTATATTTGCAGCAACTTGTCTGGGAGTGTTTATGATTGGTGTACAACCAGAAAACACCAAATGTTGCACTACTGTTTAGTTACTTACTAAATAGTAGTGTTACTTAGTTATATCAAAAGAAAGGAAGATCCAAGAAAATCATTTTAGTTCCTTCAGAGAAAAAAAGTTAATTTACCAGTCTAATACTCTCAAGATAAGTTAATAAAATAAAACTCAAAATCAAAGTGTGCTTTATAAATGGCAGTTTTACTCAGATAAACCCCCTATTATTTATTTATTTATTTTCTTTTAGTTTATTAAAGGCAGTGAGAGATAATCTTCAGAAGGCCTTCTGGGATATCCTGGAGGCTGAGCTGAATGACGACCCTCCTGAATATGGACAAGCCATCAGATTAGTGGAGGAGATCAGAGAGGTCACCACATGCATTCAAATATTTATTTATTTATATATATATATATATATATATATATATATATATATATATATATATTATATATATATATATATATATATATATATATATATATATAATTTTTTTTTTTTTTTTTTTTTTTTTTTTCTAAAACAACTTTTTTTCCCCCTCTTGACGAACAGATCTTATTGTCATTCCTTAATCCGGGTGCCAATCGGATGCGGACCCAGATCATGGAGGTGCTGGACATGGACCTGATTCGTCAGCAGGCTGACAACGATGCTCTAGACATCCAGGGACTTGCCTCTTACATTATCACAACCATGGGCAAGATGTGTGCACCCGTGAGGGATGAGGAAATCAAGAAGCTACGAGAGGGCACAGATAACATAGTGACGCTTTTTAAGTAAGCGCACACTTTTCAAAATATTTCAGTGCTTGCATCCAATATACATTAACAGTGACTGTATTTACTGTCTGACCTGTTCTGTTTAATAATAATATTTTTAATTATAAAAGCAAATTTTTCATAGCATCTTGGTTATTTCTACACATTAGGGAAATATTCCGTGTGTTGAGCCTGATGAGAGCGGACATGGTCAACTGTACAATTGAAAACCTGAGACCTGTGCTGCAGAGGCAAAGTGTCGAATATGAGAGGGCAAAGTTTCAGAGCATCCTGGACAAAACACCCAGTGAGTGAATAACACTACATTCTTCTTTATATATAACCTTTAGCACCCTTTTATACACACAAAAATACAGAAAATATGCCACAGTTTTATTGAGGTCTACATTTGAGAATTATTTTTTTTTATATTTTGTGTGTGACTTTCAGACTGAAATGAAGCAAAAACTGTCATATTGACCTCCCAGTACATCTATTTATAACAAAAGAAACTCTAACTGCTCAACTCAAAACTTTAAAAAGAGAGTCCAAAGTCCAGTGGAGGATGTCACAGTGGCTATGCCATCTTTTCTTTACAGTCTGTGTCAAAGTGAAAAACTGAAACCCTGCTAGACTTGCGCTAATATGAAACTTTCTCAGGTGCTTTAGACCGCACTACCTCCTGGATCAAGTCTGCACTGGAGGAGCTGCAGTCATCCATCGCCCCTACAGAACAGACTAATGGTCCTGGAAAAGGACAACCAGTGGTGCCTGGGCCATTTCAAGTTCTCAACGCTGCCTTCATTCGCATCCTCACATGGGACTACTCCAAGAGCCCACCGCCTGAGGTAGTGTGTTGTAAATGTAGTTAAGAGAAGGATCTTATGTTTATGTCAGCTTCTCTCCTTGTTATTTTTAAAAAATATTTACATAGCTGAGAGATTAGAGATTTTACAGACAATTTGTGCTTTGGAGATTTTATTGGTGCAATCTTCTCCATTAGACGTGGATGACAGATGAGATCCGTCTCCAAGAGATTCAGTGGCAGCTTCAGCAATGTCAGGCTGTGAATGAGGTGCTGCTCATTGTCTACAGCACAATTGGGGGGCCTATCCAGGGTCTACCATCCTTGTCTGACCGCCTGAAGAGGATGATCAGTGTGCTGCTGGATGGGATGCACAGATCGTCAGTACCTTTGTGTCAGACTATTTTCAGACATATCTGTCTCAAACTCCATCTTAAACTGATTTTTTTTTATACCTATAGGGACTTTAACCTAGAAGAGTCACTAGAGGGCATCAGTGCTCAGATCTGCTGTGAGCTTAACAAGTCTTTAACAGAGAGGAGCTACCCTGCACTGACCCCAGCGCTGCAGGGCACCCTCACAGGCCAGATTTGCAACATTACCCAAAAGGACAATCCCATCCGAACCCTAGTTGGTAAGAGAGAATAAGTTGAAAGACTAACTTCTTAAAAAAATTTTAGTTGAGAAATTGATGTAATTGACTAAACGCTTGCTGTGGTTTTTCTGCAGAGGACCGTGTGCAGCAGTACTTCATGGCACTCATTTCTGACCCAAAACCTCAGTCCAAAATTGAACAAGTACCAGCTGGTTTGACTGCTATCAAGCCTGAACTAGCAATAATTGGGGCAAAGTTCATCTCCCTGGTCAACTACAACAAGACAGTCTATGGCCCTTTCTATGCTGACATCCTGAGGAAGCTGATGTTCAGCAACAGCCAACCAGCAGCCAACCCTCCTCAGAACACAGCTCAGGACTCTGTCACCCACAATTAAAATGAAAATATCATGCAGTTGAAGAAGACTGTTTTTCTACTAGACACAGGTAAAGCAAAGGAGGTGGGGAGTATCTGTGTCGACTACAATGTATTTGAGCAGCATCAAGCTGGTTGTTAATACACAAAGAAAACAAGAAAAAGTCGAAGCTATAGGAGGAGGAAGAGAAAGATTTTCAGTAATGGGATGTCAATGCATGGAGTGAAAGAAAAAAAGAGAAGAGGAAAGTGGGTCATTGTGTCATGCAGGTTCTGCAGCTGTGGTTTTGTCATTACATTTGGCAGTAAAAGCACAGCAGTGTATTTATCACATGCTCAGCTTTAAATGTGACTCCTTACTTTGCGAAAATGCTCAAACTTATTTTTCAGCAATATTTGGACAGTAACACAGTTGTTATAATTTTACCTCAGTACCCAATCAGTTTAATTTTATTTTCATTATTTGATTTTTTAAAAAGTGCTGACCTAAGCTGAGCTTTTATTCAATGGCTTGAACAAAAATATAGTGTTACTATATTACATAGCCATATACTTAACAATTAATCCAGCTGCTTATGTCCTTGGTCACTAAAGCAATAAACACTAGTGACCCAGTGCCATTGGACTGCCTCCACCATGTTTTACAGATATAATAAACTTTGGGAAATGAGTTGTCCACAGGTTGACTTCAGGTTCAGCTGTCCAAACAATACTTATTATATTTATTACCAAGCTAAATTCCTGAACCCTTTCTCCAGTTTAGATGTAAAAGTTCCGTAAATACTCACTTGAAGCCCGGTAAACAGCAAAAATAACAAATACCTTGTCAGTGCTTCCCTGTGAACATTTAGGACTTCAAACCAGAAAACCAGTATTAGCTACAATAATCCATTTCTGTACCTAATGTTGACACCCCCTATTTTATCATTGTGTCTGTAGTCAAACTCCTTGAATTTTGGAGGCAGTATATAAGAACAGAAGGGCATTTTAATATGTACAATGCATACAGCAAGCTTTATAAAACACAGATGGAGAGGTTTATATAGAAAAGTAGCAGAGTAGAATTTCAGATTCTTTACATATAATGTTATCACCGTTAAGTACTAAGGTAACAGTATAACTGTTAACTACAGAAAAACTGACAATAAGAAGTGCCACACTTGAAGGTAATGCAAAACATGAGCCCTTTTCCTTGGATTTAGTTGTTGTCTCTTACCTTTTTATCAGCCAGAAAATGAAACTGTTTGTATCATTTTTAATCCACACTTAGCTTTGACCTCTGAAAGAAAGTAATGTCAGTTGTCTGCATGAGTTTCTTTGTGTTGGGATTTGTGCATTTTAGTTGTTGCTTGAGTAATTTGTTGGGGTATTTGTTGCCTGTTGTATGTTCTGTAATTTTATTTGTTAGCTGCCAGTGGAATATTAGTTATGTTGATTGGTTATATTGTTATTTGCTTGTTACATTTTAACGTGCTGTTTTGTTTACAGTACATTTGCGCTGGATGTAAGAACACAATTGTGAGATGAAAGGTGCTGAACACAGAAATGAATTTTGTCTCAAAGTTTCCAGCGGACATTTGTATGCAGAAAGAAAAACATATGTAGTTTTACATCAGTTTACATAAGAACATGGAGAGTTTTTGTTTCCCTCTGTATCAATGTTAATATAATAAAACAACAAAATTGAGCATGTGGTGTTCATTTAATGATGAAACCTTATATACAGGGTGGGCCATTTATATGGATACACCGTAATAAAATGGGAATGGTTGGTGATATTAAAGTCCTGTTTGTGGTACATTAGTATATGTGAGGGGGCAAACTCCTCAAGATGGGTGGTGACCATGGTGGCCATTTAGAAGGCCATCTTGGATACAACTTTTGTTTTTTTCAATAGGAAGAGGGCCATGTGACACATCAAACTTATTGGTAATGTCCCAAGAAAAACAATGGTGTGCTTGGTTTCAACATAACTTTATTCTTTCTTGAGTTATTTACAAGTTTTTACCACTTATAAAATGAGTTCAATGTGCTGCCCATTGTGTTGGATTGTCAATGCAACCATCTTCTCCCACTCTTCACACACTGATAGCAACACCGCAGCAGAAATGCCAGCACAGGCATCCAGTATCCATAGTTTCAGGTACTGCACATCTCGAATCTTCACACCAATTGCCTTCAGATGACCCCAAAGATAAAAGTTTAAGGGGGTCAGATCGGGAGACCTTGGGGGCCATTCAACTGGCCCACGACGACCAATCCACTTTCCAGGAAACTGTTCATCTAGGAATGCTCGGACCTTGCACCCATAATGTGGTGGTGCACCATCTTGCTGGAAAAACTCAGGGAACATGCCAGCTTCAGTGCATAAAGAGGAAAACACATCATGTGGCAATTTCAAATATCCAGTGGCCTTGAGGTTTGCATTGATGAAGAATGGACCCACTATCGTTGTACCCCATATACCACACCAAACCATCACTTTTGTTGTTCCAACAGTCTTGGAGGGATCCATCCAATGTGGGTCAGTGTCAGACCAATAGCGGTGGTTTTGTTTGTTAACTTTTACCATTCACATAAAAGTTTGCCTCATCACTGAACAAAATCTTCTGCGTGAACTGAGGGTCCTGTTCCAATTTTTGTTTTGCCCATTCTGTAAATTCTGTGCGCCGATCTGGGTCATCCTCGTTGGGATGCTGCAGTAGCTGGAGTTTGTAAGGGTTCCATTTGTGAGTAGCTAATATCCGCCGAAAGGGATGTTCGACTAATGCCACTCTCCAGTGACATGCGGCGAGTGCTACGCTGTGGGCTCTTGCTACGCTGTGGGCTCTTGCTGAATGAAGCTAGGACAGCCACTGATGTTTCTTCATTAGTGACAGTTTTCTTGCGTCCACATTTTGGCACATCCAACACTGAACCAGTTTCACGAAACTTAGCAAGCAGTTTGCTAACTGTAGCATGGGAGATGGGTGGTCTCGTAGGGTGTCTTGCATTGAAATCTGCTGCAATGACCTGGTTACTGCGTTCACCAGATATCAACACAATTTCGATCCGCTCCTCATGTGTTAACCTCTTCGACATGTCAATGGCTGTGAACAAAGAGAAACTTGTAAATAACTCAAGAAAGAATAAAGTTACGTTGAAACCAAGCACACCATTGTTTTTCTCGTGACATTACCAATAAGTTTGATGTGTCACATGGCCCTCTTCCTATTGAAAAAACAAAAGTTGTATCCAAGATGGCCGACTTCTAAATGGCCACCATGGTCACCACCCATCTTGAGGAGTTTGTCCCCTCACATATACTAATGTGCCACAAACAGGACTTTAATATCACCAACCATTCCCATTTTATTACAGTGTATCCATATAAATGGCCCACCCTGTAGATATATTTTTTCAAAGGGGTATTAATAGAGGGAACCTAACAGTTTAGCCCACGAATAGGAAGAAAACCAGGTTTGAACCTTTATCTTTAATTTTGTGTTGCTTTTTTCTCTTGTTGCAAGTTGAAAACACAAAGCTATAATGTATTATTGCTATCATTTTGCTATCTGGGGAATGCATGAGACTAACACACAACTGTTAAGAAAAAAAGCTATTTAAGCAAGGATGAAAATTATAATCACCAACCTGCATCCTTAATTAATTAAATACAGACAATAATTTGTATAGATGATAATTTTAGCTTGCATATACTTCATTTGAGTCTCATTGCACGCAGGTCTGACAACAAGCCTATATGTCCACAGCATTATATAGGTAATCTATTCACAGCTACTTATAATTGTATTATCAGGGCATCAATGTGTACTGGAGTAAACAAATGCTCTCATCACTTGCTGTCACCAGGCAGTAATGTTGCCTTCAAGTGCGGCCTGGAGGTAGATAAAAATAGAGTTGTCAAAGGATTTTTAATTCATAAATCTAATTTCGTCTAATGTGGCGTCTAATTGTGCAAAGTGTTTGAACTGTATCATGAATTTAGTGGGTAATACCACACACTAAAGTGTTTTTGATTAAACAAGACAGAGAAAGTAAATGATGGTCGTTTCTATGTTATGTCTTATAGTAACGCATAATAACTCTTATGTTACTCAAATTTACCATGAAAACACCGCCGCTGGAATACGTATTCATATGACTTTATCGTTGGAAAATATTTGTAAAGCCTAACCGTTTTAGCTGAGCGAACGCAAATATTTACAACACACGAGAAGTATATAAACGCCGCATCAGTTTGCCCAGCTACACATTCTTCCAAAGCGTGAGCTCACCGGTCACGTGAGCTAGAGCTTGCAAAGCAATTGGTTGCTTCACGCCGGGGCAGTTGTTTTTGTTGTGAATCAGGAAGCTCTTCTTTCAAAATTGGGTGTGTAGTAACACGTTAAGACAGAGAATTAAAACCTCTGTTTAGTGACTGGGTTCTTAAATCGTGACCTGATATCGAAGCCGCATACAACTAAACAACCACCTTCTTCGCTGAAGACTAGACGATATTCGTAAGTATCAGCTAGTGGCTACCTGTCTTTCTTTGTTTCATTTACTTCAAGCAGTCGGAGTAGGTTGAACTTCCTAACAAGTGCTGGATTGGGCTTGGTTTGTGAATATAACGCTAGAAAAGATGTCGACTAAGAATAAGAAGAGTCAAGTTTAGTCTTCATTAGCACTAGTGAAAGTTCATTTTGAGCTGTCAAAACTAAGTACTCCTACTATTTTTTAATAACAGATGGTAACCTATACCCCAGTGAATGCGTTATCAGCTCTTGTATTTTCACTTTTGATCTCTTCCTGTTTCGTATTGGAACACAGATATCTGGACATTAAAGACTGTTTTCACACACTTTTGTGGCTTTGAGGGTATTTTTAAGGTTTTAGACTACATTCTGCCGTTAAAGCCTGCTAACAAATTTTATTTTTAAACAGCAGGAAACCTTTAAAGCTTGACGAATACATAACCTTCAAGACTGATCAGTTCACACATATACACAATCACAAATACATCTGTATATAGCAGGGGCATGACGTATTGAGGACATATGTCAGGCGAGTTATAGGAAAAACAGTACATGTATTACAATAGAAACCAGTTGACTCACAGGCTTGTAAACATCCAGAGTCTCATTAAACATGCCCATCAGTGCCTCTACAACCATGATGTGATATTTTTTTTTAACTTTTTAATTTTTATTTATTTTTTTCCAAACTAACAAATACTAAAACTAACAATATTTACTCTATGTTTCTACTTTAATTCTCCTTATTAAAATATATATATATTATATATATAAAATATATATATTTGTATTCCCCATGTAAATGGTACAGTACCAGTACTTGGATTGGTACTTATTTAATTTAATTTAATTTATACTTAATTATTATGTTTGGAGGGGAGGGGGGCACTATTGGATAGTTTGAGTAAAGAGAAGATGGTAGAAAGAGGAAGACATGCAAGCCGCTGCATTTGGCCTTGTAGCATGTGGTTGCCTGCTCAACCACTGAGGTAACCGAGTGCCCCCGTAAGTACTGTTTAACTTAAAATTCATTCAGTCACATTTACATGAAAGAGTTGCGCAAACTCTGGGGTTAGTATCTTGCTCAAAGATATTTTGACATGCAGGTTGGAAGAGTTGGAGATCTAACCACTGACCTTCTGATTAGTAGACTACCCACACTACCTCCTGAAGATGGAACAATAAGAAATACATGCCATGCCAAAAAGGATGGACAGATCCACAATTTATTAAACGCCGTATTTTTTTCCAATAGCGTGCAGTGCACCGAGATCCTGTATGGTTGGTGTGTGGCGCAGAAATGGCGCTGGAGGAAGGGGCACGGAGCTGTCTGCTGCGCTTCCGCCAAAAACTGGAGGAGGACATTAAGCCCACCTACCTGATGGATCACATGATCAGTGATGGTGTGATGACTGTGGATGAGGAGGAGAGGATCAGGACTCAGGTGAGCTTCTGGTGGTTTCTACATTTTCTAGAATTAATACTGTGGTCAATGAAAATATTGCTCGACATTACTGAAGCCCTGTCCTCCTTTCCTCCTCTCAGACTTTATTGTCCATGTATTGAGTCACCCTCCTCCTACCTTTATTTACTGAGTCAAGTCTTTGTTTTCACACTTGTGTTGACTTTGCCATTTTCTGTGGACACAAGACATGACGATAACTGTAGATAACTCATTTTCCCC